CAAAGTGCTAACGAGCCTCAATACCATGTTTATTGCTGCATTATTCACAATAATGAAGAGATGGAAGCTGTGCTGTTAGCCTAAAACTTGGCTTTTTTTTTCTTCCCATTACAGTGATCCCATCAGGTCTCCAACTCTCTTAACTGCAAACACAGGATATTGAAAATCAGCATGGTCTTGCAAATCGAAAGAATGTCGCTGACTTTACAAAGAACATAAAACAGGCTGCTTTAAAAACTAAATATAGCCCCGTTTCTCGCAGAAGGCAGACAACTCCGCCTTCCAGTGATATGTACAACGTGGGTTAACTGCATATGGTCAGGCCAGTTATTTAGATCCAGGTGACAAGAGGGCTCAGAGATAGAGAGGGCAGATTAAAAAAGCGTGCAGTGGCTTTCGGCGGCCGTGTAGACAAAGCGAGGTGGATGGATTAATAATGAACTTTCCCCTCCTGCATTGAAGGGTGTTGGGTCAGGGCCCCCGTCGACAGTAGAGTTCACCGAAGTGGCCTTACAAAGAAGGGAACAAATAGTGGTTCAGATCAGCCTCTCAGCCTGCCCAGCTAGAAGGCAGGTGTAAGAGAAAAGAAGAAATGAAATGCAAATGGAGAGAAGACCCAGCGAGTGGCCCTGGGGGTCTGTGACAGGCTGCAAGTCAAGGAGGAGGGCTTAGGCAGTCTTGTCTGCAGGACACGACCTCGGGGGTGGCGCAGATCTCGCACTGTGCCCTCCAGCTTGCAAATTACAGACTGCTGCCATCCCTTCCAGGCCCCCAAGGGTTAAGAGCCACACGGTTTGAAACGATGAATTTTCCTAAGAAACATTAAACACAGGATTGCTCATGCTACAATAATGCTACAGCTGTGGCTTGTGAGGACGGAATTCCGGCCATGGGCTCAAGTGACAGGTGCACCCCGATGTGTGCTGAGCTGGGCTGAATGTGCAGAGCCTAACTCACTCACATCTCCCACCGATTAACGGCCGGGGACCCTGGTGCCAGCCAGGGGAGGGCCTCTTCCCAGAGGCAGAAGGGACAGGAGTGTCAGGCCAGGTTGACCACATAGCCACTGCTCCCCAAATGACAGAACACGGACATGAGACAAGATCGGGCAGGTGGGAAGATGGACAAGTGGGAGGTGAGAAGGGGACCTGGGATCACACCCTTCTAGGGTCTGACACACACAGACACAAGTCTGTCCTCTGCTCCACTCTTAAGACGCTTTTAGCAATCAAAGCAAGTCCGGAATTCTAAGAAATGTGTCACCCAAACTGGTATCATTACAGGAAGTGGCATAAAACTAGAATGCAAGTCTAATGATTAATACAATAATTATGCTATTTCTACCTGAGGGTTGCTGTGACCTCACACCAGCGACCTGTACCCTGGAGGAACGTAGCCCTCTGCACAAGGATTAAGACAGGAACATCTTGGGGTTTGGGGGTGCCGAGGTGCCACTGTGTCCCCTGGTTTCACTTGGGGTGAAACATCAGTGGTCACCCTTGAAGGTGGCTGAAAGTTGAGGGAAGTTGGTACCTGCAAAGGGAGGTGTGACAGCCAGTCCTGGACCGATGCCAGCAGATGCTGCATGGGCCACTGCAACCCCAAAGGCCAAGCTGAGCAAACCAGAGTGCCCCCAGCATGCCTTGCGCTAGAAACAGGAGGAAGAGGAAGAAAGGACTTTCTCAGTCCGTCTCCCAACCAAGAAGGCTCTGGAAGATGGTGCCTGAGTGGCTGCTGGTGGACAACAGCTAGGCCACCTGGAGGTAAGATCCTCACTTGGCACGAGGCCCCAGCCTTGTGTCACCAGAGGATCTGCAGCCTCTTGAAGATTAAAGTGCCTACAAAACACTCACCACACCTCACCTCAAAGCCTCCACAGAATAAGGGGGAGCGTTTCTCATGCCCACCAGCCTTGCAGCTCATTCAACCAGCCACAGCCCTTCCAAGATCAGATACGCAGACGGAAGACACAGCCCAGGAGAGATCAAGTCAGAGGACAGCTCAGATGTAGAGGCACTTGAGGTCTTTCTGGCTGGATGGCATCAAGACAACTCAAGATTTTCAGATGTTTGGAACAATAAAAATAAATGGGGGAAAGGGAAGAAAGACAGCCTGCCCAGTACTCTGGGTCTTCACAAGCTGGTCTTTGGTGGAGAAGCTTGTGTATCTTGCATTTTTTAAAAATGCAAATGGTAACTGTCTCCATAAACCTACCCTGCATTTGCCCCGAGGATGTGTGTCCACCTCCTTGCCCTGAGAAGTCATGCCGCCTCACTGAGGAATGACAGTCGCCAACGCACCCAGACTACAAGGCTAGCGGAGGGGGAGACGGGTCTGCCACGTTGCATGACCCTGCAGGCTTTAGAGCAGACTGCAGTGTGGGTGTGTGGGGCCCCACAGACCAGAGGAGAACCCGGCCAGCTTAGAACAGGAAACAGGAAAGCAAAGGAATACATCCTTCAGAGCTTTCATGTCTAATCCGTATGCTGCTGTCTGCCGCCCAGTCAGAGGTGGCCTGTAGTTGACGGCCCGGGTGTTCAGAAGCAGTTAACTGCACAGTTTATAAACTGCCCATTCTTCTATAGAGTGGCTGGTAGATTTGAACTGCGTGCCTGGATTGCAGTGCAGCTTCTTACCACTAGGCCACCAGAGCTCCCTATTAGATATATCGCTATATATGTGTGTGTGTATATAGGTATACATATGTATGCAGGTGTAAGTATATATATAGATGTATGTGTGTGTGTGTGTGTGTGTGTGTGTGTGTGTGTGTGTGTGTGTGTATATATATATATATATATATATATACAGAAAGAGAGCGAGCGAGATTTCTCTCCCTGTCCAGTCAGTAGGGCTCCATTGACTTTTCCCTCACCAGTGGATTCAGGGTTGTCTTTAAGCTGTTGTGTCCGACGGAACAAAAGACAAAGGTCAAGGGTATGCGTTTTCATCGGGCAGCTCCTTGGGGGATTTACAGTGCAGCTTGTCTTTGTACAGATACAGGGACTACGTGACAAAGCACAAGCATTCACGCCCCTGACCACCTGGCCCCAAGCCCCTCCACCCGAGAAGCTCTGGAACCGGGCTGTCAAGTGGCGATATAGGAGATGGAGAGAAGCCAGTGGCTGCTCTAACTCTCAGTTTCCAGAAGTTTCTAGTTAGGATCTATTTCATTAGCTTGATGGCTGAAGGTTACAGCTGACTTCAAACATGTTCTGGGTATTTTTTTCTCCCTCCTTCTGAACAGATAACCTCTAACCTTTTGAAAGCTACGATTTATTAAGTTAAATGGATGTCCCATTGCTCTTAACCATTATAAGTCCAAAGGGTATAAGTTATGACAGAGATCTAACTTGACAGGAAGAAGGTGAATTTTGAGAGCTATTAAGGAATTAGAACTATACCTAGGTGTTCTCTGTTTTATCTCCTTTCTTTTGTGAAAAATAAAGAACTTCTTGGGAAAGTCTTATACTAAAATACTAAAAATCTGCTTTTCTAAACCTTTTGAATTGAGTAAAAAGTGTAAAAAATAAAAAGTCTGTGATAAAAAAAGTCCAAAGGGTTATAGCAAACAACCAACCAACCCCAAAGTCTAACCAACAGGATGGGGGGGCAGAGTGGTACTGACCCTGCACCTCTAAAATCACTCTCGACCTTACAGTGAGTTTCTTAGAAATGGAGGGAGATGGTTCTAATTAAATGAAACAATATTTAAAAAAAACCCAAGTTGTTGCTTAACTAGTGTGATCACAAGCGAGTTTAACCTTGTGACTCTTCATCTGACGTCTGAGTCGGAGGGTTGAAAGGGAGGAGAGCTGAGCTCTAAGCGGAACCTTCACACTCCTGCACCCGTCTCATTCCTTACATCACCAAGGGCCACGGGCGCGTCCCTCTAAGGCCAAGGCACCGGAGGGGGCTCAGAGGCCTTGCACGAAAGCTTGGCTTCTGAAAAGGCGGAGGAACAGGAGCCTATAATGATTTTTGTTTCTAAAAGGAATGCCAAGGGTGGAAGAGATTGTGAAAATGAGAGGGGGAAAAAAGGTATATTATTTCTCAAAATGTGTGAAGACAAGCTATGCAAATCCACAAATGAATAAAAGGGGGGGAGTGTAATTAGCGATTTATAAACCCCAGGGGCATAGCAAGTCATTCATTTCTAGTCACTGAACTCTCTTCACACCTGACAATTTGGGGAGGTCGCCCAGCTGTCGGCCTCTCCTGTCGAATACGTGATACCAATAGTCCAGCTGGGGCCCATTATAAGAATTCTGAGGTCTTAGTAGTGCTAATAAATAAGTCATTCATTCCCCACTTGCTCCCTAAAATTCTTGGCATTATTGCAGATTGCTGCAAACACGGTGCCATGGTTCTGCTCTGCCACGTGAAAACACAGAACCAAGGCTGGACTTGTGGGGGGGGTCTGGTGGTACCTGGGCACAGCCCGGCCCACACTGTGGAGGTGGATGAATGAGGCCTGTATCTGGAGAGGTCAGAGGTCCTCTCCTGGCGGGGCTGCTGGCTAACCACAGTGAGAAGCAGGGAGAGAGCCCCCAGCACCCCTGTTGGCCCCCCCTGGACTCCCCCACCTGCCTGGCCCTTTACTGCTGGGGAAGGTGAGGGCAACCTGCTGCCTAGTCTCAGCTGGCCAGCCACCTGGAAAGCAGGGGAGCCAGTGACGAGGGAGGAGGAAGATTGATGAGCTCCTCCAGGTCTGGTGTCCAGGCGCTGAAGGATGAGAGGGGGCGGGGTGCTCTTTCCTTAGGAAAGACCTTCCGTCACCCCCTCCCTGCCTGCACAGTGCTGGCCGCCCCCAAGGCCAAGCCAGGCCCAGGGGCCTCTAAACTCTAAGATGGCCATGGGCACTGGGAGCAGCCTTGACAGTGAGGCCCGGGTTCTGGGCACCAGGACAGCTCCCTGGCTACATGGCCACTGAAGGCCACCCACCACTACCACCAAGGAGGCCTAGATTGGGGTGCACTCAGGACAGAGGACGGATTAACCTGATCCCCCAACATCCAGGTAGATGGGCTGGCTGGACATACGGAGGCTCTCAGATGCAGGCTACAAAGCCCGGGTCAGGGGTCACCAGAGCCGGGGTGGGCAACAGGAGGCCCTCTGAGGGGCAGTGACCATAGAGAGTGCCTAGCAACATCTTTTTTATAAATTGTTAAAAAAGAGCTATTGCTGCTCCTGGGTCTTGGTGGCAGGCGGCTTCTCCTCCAGCAGAGGCTGCTTATCCCCACAATGGGGCCTGTGCCATGAGGGTGAGACCCAGCCTTCAGGCAGAAACATGACACCGGGCACCGCCAAGCCCTGGCCTGGTCCCTCTGCAAAGCACCTCTTCATTTCTAAGCCAACCCACTGCTGTCCAGCTGCCTCCACAGGCAGCCCCCCAGGACAAGGGACTACTGCCCCTTCCACTTCAAAAGCTACAGATCTTTCCAGAAGCACATTGACTCCTCTCTCTTCTGCAGAGCCGGCTGGTGGGTTCAAACTGGTAACCCTTCAGTTAGCAGCCGAACACTTCTCCCCCATGCCACCAGGGCTCCCTAATCACTGGCAAGCAGGAGCAAACGCTTTGCTTGGTCTGATGATGTGAGCACCCAGGACCTTCCGAAGCGCAGCGTTCTCCGGCTGTCAGACTCTGCTAAGCCTCGATATTGGATGTGTCTGATTTTTTTTCCCAAAGTGAAGTTATTCTAAATTAAAATCTCTAAGCAATCCACAGGGTCGGGGGTCAGGATCTCGCCTCTGCCCCCCTCTCCTTCCGGGCAGAATCGCCGGCTCCAAACGTCGCTGTCTGAGCTGGCGAGGGAGACATGAGCTTGCACACATTTCTCCCTGAATTGATCGTGGCGATGGAAGAGATGGCAGCCCCCTCTCCCCTGCGGAACTAGAAGCAGGCCCATCTGGATACGGCTCAGGTCGGGGGACACGGGCTGCTGGTGGGGGGATGTTTCAGGGCACAAATTCAAGAATCCTCCACAGGATTCTGTGGCAGCCGCACCCTGCACGCTAACCCTCCTGCCAGGCACAGGACATAGAGGAGTTTTATCCAGAAATGTGGGTACAAAATGGTCTGTAATTTACCTGCGATGAAGCCCTATGTCTCTGCTGACTCCTTACCAACTGCCTGTTAATAACCATCAGAATTAGGGGTCTTAGTGGAATGATAAATGGAGGGCACGAGGACGCCTCTGCCCCTTTCTGTCAACATCTGGATGCCACCCCCAGGCTTCCTTCTCAGTCCCAGCCAGTGCTTTCCCTGAGGGTGGGGGCCCTTGGCTGTGACAAGACCCGCCTGCCTGCCCTCTGGGGAGACCTGGGGTGTGACCCCTTGAAGCCCTGAGGTTCCACTAACAAAGCACAGTCTGGAGGACTGCTCGGGTTCAAAGAGGAAAGAAAGGAGCTGCAGACACGTAGTCCCTTGTTACGCTTTGTCCTCTCTCCCCTTGACAGTCACAAGTCACCCCAGCTCACCAGAGGCAGGACCCCCTGCACCGCACCCATGACTCTGGTCCTGGGGTGTCCTTGGCCCCCACCCCAATGTGCTTCTGCCAAAACCCAAACCTCATCCTGTTCTTTCACTGTCATTAAAGGGCCTGACTGCTTGTCATGGGGACCTGGGGCTTCCTACAGGCCTAACCCTGGCTTCTCAGTCACAAAAATGTTGCTCTGATCCTGTGAAACGTCCAGAACTTTCTGAAAAGCGTGTCTCACACGTGGAGCACAGTCATGTCAGAAGGAAAAAGAAATAAATAAAAAGAGCATCAAGCTCACTGCCTGGCCTGGGAGCGGGTGACAGTCGCAAGATCCCCGTGTGAGAAGTCAGAATAGTCATCTGAGCTCTCAGCAACTTACATATCGGGAGCTCCCCAAGTGAGCTTCGCTCCCTTTCCCCGACATTGTGCCTCGGGGAGCAGCCCCTCTGAAGGGACTTTGAGGATCTAACTGGCAGGACCATGGAAGTTTCTAGAAGGGCACGCTAAGACTGTCGAGTCAGAATGGCAACCGAGCCCACCCTCAGTTCACATTAATTATCAGTCAGCCCTATCCTCCCAAGTAACCCAAAGCTGAGGTGCAAAATCCCCCCTGGGTCATTACGCTCCTGCCTTTTCAAAGCCTGACACCCCAGAACTTTTGGGGGGCTGTGCACTGCGTCACAAACAAGGCTGCTCTGCTCCGTGTGCATGCTAGCGTGGCCTCCTGCCTCTGGTCCTCTCCTCAGCTGGGCCCCCGTATTTTTCGGTCTTTCTTTTCTTTAA